ATATTGGAGACCTAGATTAAGTTCTTGCCTCCTGCCTTCAGCCCTGGCACAGCTTCAGCTATTGCAGTCAACTGGGAAGTGAATCGATAGATTGGGGCTCTTCTTTCTCTCTCTCTCTTTCTCTCTCTGCCTTTCAAAACAGTAAATGAAAAAAACACTTCAAAGAGTATATGTAAGTCTTCAAATCTACACATTTTTATTCATCTATTTTTCAAAACTGTCTGTGTAAACAAAATGTTTATTTAAGGCTCTAAGAGGAGCCGGAGCTGTGGCATAGCAGCAGCTGTGATGCTAGCATCCCATATGGGCTCTAATGGAACAAAGACATAAGCCTCAGCCATTCTCACTCATTGCCCATAAGACAGCTAAACATTGGAATTTATTCCTTGCCCTTGAATCTCAATTGGGTCTCACACCCTATTGCCTTCATATCCAACCCCTCACGGCCAACTGAAAGACCAGTTGCTAGAATTCACCTCTGCCTGCTGCTCCCTAGTACCACCCCCATCCTTAGCCCTCCTAAAATATAAAAAGGCCCTGCCCCTGGGGTTGGGGCCTCCTGCCACGTATTCCATCATGTGTGTGCCGGCAGTTGGTCACCTACCTCTGCGAATTTATTTTCTCTGAATAAATTCAGACTGGCTGTAAATTTGTACACTGCCTCCCCATATGAGGAGGCACCAATCTGCAACTCTTTTCCTAACAGGCTCCATTTCTGATCCAGCTCCCTAAAAAAGCCTGAGAAAAGGAAAAGAAGATGGCCCAACTGCTTGGACTCCTGCACCCACATGAGAGACCCCAATGAAGCTTGAGGTTCCTGGCTTCGGCCTGGCCCAGCTCTTTTTGTTGGAGCCAATTGGGGAATGAACTAGTAGATGAAAGTTCTCTCTCTACCTCTTTGTCTCTCTTTTTGTAACTCTGCTTTTCAAATAAATAAAATAAATCTTTTTTAAAAAAATCTAAGAAAGCTAGTGAAAAACATTTTATATCGCCCAAAACAATAAGTCATAAAAATTCATTTCCAAGGAGAATTTATTTGGAGAAAATTTATTTGGAGAAAATTTCACTGCTGAGATCTGAGGAAAATTCATGTGTGTTTTAACTAGCTGGCATGCCAAAAGAAAAGCTAAAAATCAATGAACCATCACATAGTATCTCATAAATATGCACAATTTGAAAAAAAAAAAACCAACTAACATAAAATAAATAGAGTAAAAACTAAAACTCAGGGCTGAGACTACCATGAAGTGAATAAGATTCCCAGACTCAATCTTGAGACTGAACACCTCCCAAATTATATGTTTGCTTGTTTTTAAGATTAATCTATTGATTGGAAAAGCAGAGTTAGATTGAGAGGGAGAGAGAGAGAGAGAGAGATCTTCCATACACAGGTTCACTCCCCAGGCTAAAGCTGGGAGCCCAGAACTCTACCTGGGTCTCTCATGTGGGTGCAGGTACCCCAAGACTTAGCCATTCTCTGCTGCTTTCTCAGGCACATTAGCAGGTAGCTGGATTGGGATTGGAGCAGCAGGGACACAAACCTGCATCTCACTTGCCTCACCTAATCCTGGCTCTGCTAAGAAGGTCAAATCCTCTGGCAGTGTCATTCTAGGTGCTACCTCACTCACTTGAGAATATATGAGAATATTCTTGATCTGAAGAGAGATTATGAAAAGTTTAGCACTGAAGTTTTGTTTTGTTTTGTTTTTAAGGCAGAATTAGACAGTGAGAAAGAGACAGAGAGAAAGGTCTTCCTTTTTCCATTGGTTCATCCCACAAATGGCTGCTACGGCTGGCGCTGTGCCTATCCAAAGCTAGGAGCCACATGCTTCCTCCTGGTCTCCCATACAGGTGCAGGGCCCAAGGACCTGGGCCATCCTCCACTGCCTTCCAGGCCACAGCAGAGAGCTGGACTGGAAGAGGAGCAACCAGGACAGAACCCGGCGCCCCAACCGGGACTAGAACCCGGGGTACTGGCGCCACAGGCGGGGGATTACCCTAGTGAGCCGTGGCGCCGGCCCAGCAGTGAAGTATTATGATGTCCACAACTTATCATCAACTGGTTCAGGAAAAGTGTGTGTGTGTGTGTGTGTGTGTGTAGAAAGAGAGAGCAAGCAAACTCAGGAAAATGTTAGTATTTAGGCAATCTACTGATGAAGGGGTATATGGGTAGTAAACATGCCATTCTTGAAAGTTTTTTGCAAGTTTAAACATTTTCCAAATAAAACTTTGGGAAATTATATACACAAACCTATGTATATACTGTGCTTAAGAACTATAGCTTTTGTCCACCCACTATCACATTTTTCCTTCCTGTTATCACAGACCTATCCTGCTGCCTCCTGCAGTTGTTAGAACCCTTCCCCTGGCTTCAGTGAGTGATCCAAGGCAGTGGTGACCACACAAAGTACAACAATCAGCAGGTCAAAAGTTCTAGTCAATCAAGTAGACACTGGATAACGGTTGCATCTAGGCACTAGCTAAAGACAAGCACTGGTCCAAAGATAGCCATGTGACATAGGACAAGCCAATTCAAGTCCTTCCCTTAGATGTTTGAAATTGGTCTTGAAACAGAGAAGTTCCTTTTTTGGCATCTAAGCCCAATATCATAAGAGAGAGAACTGGGTATAAAAGATAGAGAGAGGTTTTATAGGCTTTTTCCAATGTTTTATTTATTTATTTTTATTTGAAAGACAGATTGACAGGGGTTGGCGCTGGCAACCTGGAGTGCCAGCATCCCATATGGGCACTGGTTCAAGTCCCGGCTACTCCACTTCCGATCCAGCTCTCTGCTGTGGCCTGGGAAAGCAGTAGAGGATGGCCCAAGTGTTTGGGTCCCTGCACCCACATGGGAGAACCAGAGGACACTCCTGGTTCCTGGCTTCAGATCGGCACAGCTCTGGCTGTTGCCGCCATCTGGGGAGTGAAACATCAGATGGAAGATCTCTCTCTCTCTCTCTACCTCTGCCTCTCTGTAACTCTGCCTTTCAAATAAAATAAATAAATCTTAAAAAAAAAAAAAAAGAGTGACAGAGAAAGAATGAAGATTGAGAGAGAGAAAAATATTTTCCATCTGCTTGTTCACTGCACTAATGTCCACAATAGCCACTGCCACACATAAGTCAGGAGCCAGAAACTCCATCCAGGTCTCTCACATGGATGGCAGGGGTCCAAGTACTTGGGACATCTTCCACCAATTTCCCAGGTGCATTTGCGGGGAGCTTCATCGGAGGTAAAGCAGCCAGAACTTGAACCTGCAGTCCAATATGGGATGCAGCCAAGTGTAGTGGCTCAACGCATTGTGCCACAATGCTGTTCCCAAGTGGGGAGGGCACCTTTTTATTTTTTAAAGAGACTTTATTTATTTGAAAGGCCTGAGCTGGGCCAGGCCAAAGCAAAGAGCCAGGAGCTTCTTCCAGGTATCCCACATGGGTAGCAGGGACCGAAACACTTGGGTCATCTTCTACTTCTTTCCCAAGCCATTGTCAGGGAGCTGGATTGGAAGTAGAGGACTCTCTCTATATATAGAGTCAGGTCCCTTGACTATATCTTTCAAAAGAGAACATGTTTGTATTATTAGTTTCACGTGTTCTATTTAATTATCACCTATTGATATGAAACTTCTTAGACAAATATATTTTTCAACATATAATAACACAACACTTAGGGCTTCTTCTGGATTTTTCTTTTAAATGTTTGTTTATTTTATTTATTTTTCTGAAAAGTAAAGCAATAGAGAGAGGGAGAGAAAAAAAGAGATCTTCATCAGCTCATTCACTTCCCAAACGGATGTAACAGCAAGTCCTGAACCAGGCTGAAGCCAGGAACCAGGACCCCATCTGTGTCTCCCACATGGATGGCAGGAGCCCAAGCACTTGTACCATCTTCTACAGTCTTCCCAGGCACATTAACAGGAAGCTGGATTGGAAGCAGAGTAGCTGGGGACTTAAACCAGCATTCCAATATGGGATGCTGGCATCACAAGCAGTGGCTTAACCTGCTGTGCCACAGTGCCAGATCTGGATTTAATTTTCTTAATTCAGGCAAAGAGAAGAAATGTACAGTAGTCCCTCCCTCAATTTACATAGGGGACATGTAAATTCCAAGACCCCCAGTAGTTTTATGAAACAGCAGATGATACCAAAACCCTGTATAGACTGTCTTTTACCTAACCTACATAACTATGATAAAGTTAATAAATTAGGGCTAGTAAGAGATTAACAACAATTAATAATGAAATAAAAAATTATAGTAGTAAACTATAGTATATTTTATTTTAAATTTATGGCTTACTTATTTCTGAACTTTTACATTTAATATTTTGGCCTGTGGTTGATCACAGATAATTGAAACTGGGGCAAGTAGAACTTCAGATAAGATGGGATGACTAACAAATAAAGGGACAGTATAAATAACCAGTGCATTTATGGTTTCTGCTAAATTAATTAATTTATTTTTTTTATATGGTGGAAAAACATATATTTAGAATTAGCCAGCTGGACTCCGTTCAGATGATCCCAATTTTGTTGGCAACGTCCAGAGCATCATAGTCAGGAGCCGCCGCACATACGCCTTCTTCTCTCCGTCAGGTCTGATCAGGGTGTTGACTTTGGCCACATCAATGTCATAGAGTTTCTTCACAGCTTGTTTGATCTGGTGCTTGTTGGCCTTGACATCCACAATGAACACCAGTGTGTTGCTGTCTTCTATCTTCTTCATGGCCGACTCCGTGATCAGGGGGAACTTGATGATGGCATAGTGGTCAAGCTTGTTTCTCCTGGGGGCGCTCTTCCGAGGGTATTTGGGCTGCCGTCGGAGGCATAGTGTCTTGGGCCGCCAGAAGGTGGGGGATGTGCGGATCTTCTTCTTCTTGTGGCTGTGGACGCCTTTCAGCACTGCCTTCTTGGCCTTCAAGGCCTTCGCTTTGGCTTCGACTTTAGGAGGGGCAGGAGCTTCCTTCTTCGCTTCGGCACCATCTTGGTAAAAAGGGCTAAATTAATTTAAACAGCAAAGAATCAAATCTTTCTACAGTGAAATGGCATCACCAAGCAGCACTATGATAGACATTGGCTATGTCGAAATGAAGTCCTTGTCTTTTGAGTACATCCCTCCCTGCTGCAACAGAGTTGGCTCACCAGTCCATCACAACACCTCACGCCCCTGGGCCCAGTGTTAGGAACGAGGAGGAGCAGATACTCCAAGTCTAAACAATTCGATCTTTCCAAAGGTTGGTCAGACAGGAGCAAATGGAAAAGGGCTGATTCACTCTATGATTTCAGAGCTGTTGGTATGAAAACCAGGCCAATTAGCAAGCATCTTTCTGACTGCTTGGACAAAGCCACATTATCAGAGAAAACAAGATTCATAAACAAAAATAGCTGAGATAGTAGAAGAGAAGAAAGCCAGTCCTGACAACTTCCCATCTTTGGAGCTGGGGTCCCCAATACCACTTCCAACTTTGTCAGGCCTTAGAGGGGTGAGACAATGAACTTCTCCTTTGCAAAATGTTCTTTGACTTATTTTTTTTTTTTTTTTCTTATAGGCAATTGAGAGAGTTCAGAATTTCTGATGGTAAAAGTTGTGAAATTCCAGATGGGTTCCAATACTTTCCTTCTAAGAAAGCTCATTAAGAATTGTCTTAGGGGGCCAGCGCCGCGGCTCACTAGGCTAATCCTCCGTCTGCAGTGCCGGCACACCGGGTTCTAGTCCCAGTCGGGGCACCAAATTATGTCCCGGTTGCTCCTCTTCCAGGCCAGCTCTCTGCTGTGGCCCGGGAGTGCAGTGGAGGGTGGCTCAAGTCCTTGGGCCCTGTACCCACATAGGAGACCAGGAGAAGCACCTGGCTCCTGGCTTCAGACCGCGCACGGTGCACCAGCTTCAGCGCGCTGCCGGAGTGGCCACTTGGGGGTGAACCAACGGAAAAGGAAGACCTTTATCTCCGTCTGTCTCTCTCTCTCTCTCTCTGTCCACTCTGCCTGTCAAAAAAAAAAAAAAAAAGAATTGTCTAGGAAAAAAAAAAAAAGTTCTTTCTTTTTAAAGGTCTTAGGCCTAGATTTTCCCCCAGTATGGTTTCAAAAGCAAGCAACCAAAAAGAAATCATTCAAATTGCCTTATTACTTCCCTGCTGTACATCTTCAGTCAGCTAAGATGTACAAATATGGGCATAAAAACACTGAATTACCTTCTGTTGTTATCCACCATGTTAAAGGCCTGCTTGGGAGGGAAAATTATTTCAAACCTCTTAAAATGCCTTTTTTTTTTTAAGTTTTATTTATTTATTCGAGAAGCAGAGTTACAGAGAGAGGGAGAGACCAAGAGAGAGAGGTCTGCCATCAGCTGGTTCACTCCCCAAATGGCCACAACTGCTGGAGCTGAGCTGATCCAAAGTCGGGAGCCAGAAGCTTCTTCTGAGTCTCCCACTTGGGCCATCTTCCACTGCTTTCCCAGGCCATTAGCAGAGAGCTGGGTTGGAAAAGGAGCAGCCGAGACACCAGCCCTCTGAAAACGCTTTTTTGTTTCAAAAGAAAACTTTAACACAGGAACTGTTAACTACCAGTAGACATCTAGAGCTCTCTTGTTTTGCACAAGTAAACACTAGCCACGTCCTCAGTTAAGCACCCTACATAGCTTCAGGTACATGAACCCCTGAGTAGAAAATATGATTCAGAATTAGCCTCTTCAGCACTTGATCTATTTTACCCAGTTATTTCTATACCTCTTTTCTCTTTGAACAATCTTTCATCATTTACTCTTCAGGGAACCTAAGCATTGCATTGCCTTTTGAAACTGGTTATGAAGCATTTCAAGTCCTTTGTTTGGTAAGAGCAGGATTTCCCACTGTGAGAAAGGTATTTTACTAGAAATAGCTATTACCTCTGATGGGTAGGATTGTACAGGACTTTCACTTTCCAAATTAAATATTTCTGAATTGTTTGAAATTTCTGTGACTATGTTTGCTTTTGTAATCAGAAAAAAATACATATTTCTTTTAAAATGTTCAATGCCTCCCAAAAAAGGCAATCCTTAGAGAAAGATATTTTGCCTATGGAGTTCTACAGAAGTGGTATAGGCCTTTTGTCCTTTTTTTCTTTCTTCTAATGATGAAATCCTATGATTTTCTAGCAATTTTGATGTCCTAAACTGAACTATTATAACTTCTGATCTGTGCTTCCCGTCTTGCCCTATTCAAATCATTCCTCATGCTGTTACTGGAGTGATCTTTCTAAAACAGAAACATCTGAGCATGTTGCATCCCTGCTGCAAATTATCAGAGGCTCTTCACCCTCTGCAAGTTCCAAGAACTCTGTGAACCAATCCCTCCTTGCTGCCGCTCCAGCCTTACTGCCTTCTACTTCTCACCTGGCTCTTTAAGCGTCCCCAACTCTAGACTAGATAGTCCCTCAAGGGCCAGTGTGAACCGTCTCTCTCCATGCCTAGGTGAAGATGTGCAAAGACCTCTCTAAAAGTTTGCCTAGGCTGGGGTGACTCTGTCAGGTGTGTTCCTGTCAGTAGGACTGAGGTCACAGGAATTGGGACACAAGGGTTGACACTAAGGTGGGTGGAGTGTCATCACCTTGCTGATTGTCAACATCTCCTCATTCCTGTCTTAACCACAACAGAATCAGCAGTGCGTGGCCACATTCCTTTGATACTGATTTTCTCTGTGTGCTGCAGTGTGTGCTGTTTGGATCCCCTGGCATTTGTAACCAAGAAGCACCTTCAAAGTGAGTGTCATATAGGTCAGATGCTGCTGTGGCTTAGCAATATTAGGCCTCTTGAGTTCCTGTTGTTGCTGGAGGTAACAGGAAATAAGGGTTAGAGGGGGGAAGGGGACCTCAGACGAGAGAGGCTACACTCCAGCACTTTTGTTCCCTAAAACACTGTTTTATCAAGGCCAAGTACTTCCTTGCTTGCTTTCACTGTGCAGTGGCTGGGGAAGCACCGCAAGCTCTCACTGCTAATGCTTATGTAGTTCCTGAAGCAGAGTACTGTAAGAGCACAGAAAACACACGTTGGTGATTGCAACTGGGACAGATGCAAAGAGAGGAGGTCAAAGTCTGCAAAGGAATACAGCAAGATTTGAGTGATGGCTCAGGTAGTGGTTTCACGGGTAGCTTTTTTTTTCTTTTTAAATTTTAAACTAAGGGCTGGCGCTGTGGCACAGTGAGTTAAGACATGGCCTGTAGTGCTGACATCCCATATGGGCACCGGTTGGAGTCCCATCTGCTCTGCTTCCAATCCAGCTCCATGCTGATGTGCCTGGGAAAGTGGCAGAGAATGGCCCAATTGCTTAGGCCCCTGGACCTACCTGGGAGACCCGGAAGAAGTTCCTGGTTCCTGGCTTCGGATCAGCCCAGTTCTGACCATTGCGGCCATTGGGCAATGGACCAGCAAATGGAAGACCCCCCCCCCCACCTCTCCTCTCTCTGTGTAACTCTGATTTTCAAGTAAATAAATAAAACTTAAAAAAAAAAAGTGTGTTAAGAGAGGTTAAAGAAGGGGGACTGCTGGCCCCTGCTGAGACCTGAATTTCTAAGGCCTAACTGTGATGCAATGTATGTATGTCTGCTATAGTTTGGATATGAGTTTGAGTATCTCCCAAGGGCCTATGATGAGTTAGAAGGTTTGTTCCCGGCCAGCGCCGTGGCTCAATAGGCTAATCCTCCGCCTGGTGGCGCCGGCACACCGGGTTCTAGTCCCGGTCGGGGTGCCGGATTCTGTCCCGGTTGCCCCTCTTCCAGGCCAGCTCTCTGCTGTGGCTCGGGAGTGCAGTGGAGGATGGCCCAGGTCCTTGGGCCCTGCACCCCATGGGAGACCAGGATAGGTACCTGGCTCCTGCCTTCGGATCAGCGCAGTGTGCTGGCCGCAGCGCGCCGGCCGTGGCGGCCATTGGAGGGTGAACCAACGGCAAAAGGAAGACCTTTCTCTCTGTCTCTCTCTCTCACTGTCCACTCTGTCCGTCAAAAAAAAAAAAAAAATTGATTTGGGTAACACCCCCTTGAGCAAGCCCTGCATAAATGATCAGACATATCTCTTTGTAACTTGGTGGCACTTACCACCTAGTGTTCTGAGCTCCAAAACTAGGAAAACAGGAAAATCTCATTTAACATCCTGTTTCAATTGTTTTTATTGTTTCCAGGTTCTCTTTGTTTCTTAATGCATTCCAGCTGAAATTTTTTAAATTAAATTTTTATTAAACTATGCATTCCAATGACAGAACACATGCCTCTTATTTTAAAAGAAAAAAGAATTATTTTTTTGAAAGGCAGAGTTATGGAGAGGCAGGTGGAGAGAGAAGTCTTCCATCCATTGGTTTACTCCCTAAAAGGCGGCAACAGCCGGAGATGGGCCAAACCAAAACCAAATCCAGGAGACTGGAGCTTCTGCCAGGTCTCCCATGCGGGTGCAGGGTCCCAAGCACTTGGGCCATCCTCCACTGCTTTTCCAGACCATAGCAGAGAGCTGGATTGGAAGTGGACTCAAATTAGCACTCATATGGGATGCTGGCACTGCAGGAGGCAGCTTTACCCACTAAGCCACAGTGCTGGCCCCTCTTTCTTTCTCTTTACGATTTATTTCAGATTCCTGTTACATTTTTTAATTTGTTAAACCCTGTTGTGGGACCAGCCACTGTCTGCTTCCTTCCCCTTACCTGGGAATGCTGGGAACCAGCTGCAGGCTGTTTTAATCTAAGCCTGCCTAAGGGCAGGAGGAATTTCCTGCACTTAGTGTCCCGCCCCACACCCCCAGGTTTTCTGTCAAGATTGTTGGCTATCCAAACTATCTCCCAGTTCTATGAGATAACTGAACTTCAGCCTCATTCTTTTTTTTTTTCCCCTGGGCCAGGAGCCAGGAGCTTCTTTCAGGTGTCCCATGTGGGTGGGGGCCCAAGGACTTGGGCTTTCTTCCACTGTTTTCCCATGCCATTAGCTGGATCAGAAATGGAGCAGCCAGGACTCAAACCAGCCCCACTATGGGATGCAGGCCCTGCAGGCAGTGGCTTTACCTGCTGTGCCACAGTGCCGGACCCCAGCCTCATTCTTGAGACAGAGTCCTTCATTAGACTCCAGCTCCACTGCCTGAATTTCAGCCTAGTCCCTTAGATGTAACCCTGACACCTTCCCAAATATCCTGAACCCCTGAGTCTGAGGTCTTCCTGCTTCCTTCCCTTCCCCATTCTTGGGAAATGGAATGCCTTTCAACTTTGGCCCAGTGGCTAGAGTCTTACTACATGCTAACTAGACTTATCTATTTATCTGGAATCCTGATGAATATCTGTTGTGTCAAAATTCTCTATCTCCCATTACGATAATGTTATTTTCTGTTAGGCCCCAGATGCAAAATGCTTGCCTACGCTACTGCTTGCTATTTGCCACAGTGGCCTCTCAACAGATTTGGCCTGCCCAATGCTACTGAAGCTAATACTGTGTCCCTTTGTGGTACCGGATCCCCATCTCTTCCTCTCAGTTGGGTCTAGGCTACCACAGGACTCAAGCCATGCATGGATCATTTCCCACGAGTAGAATGTCCTATTACACACTGCTCTGAAGAACAGTGCAACCTTTGGGACCAAACCAGGAAAACATAGCCCCAGGTAGTGAGCCCTTTGAGGACAGTATTCATCTGCAATAGTCAGGGATTTACCTACCATATCCACTTAGGCATTAACTAATCAAAGACTGTTAAGTTCTGGGTCCCCATTCAGTGCAAGCATATGTAACAGACATCCATTTTTCCCAGCCAGCATCCTTTCTTCTGGTTGGATATTACTACTTCTCTTGCCCATATCTATTGCATAGAATTCTGGTAGGGCTGACCCAAATCTCAGCTTTAGCTCTGGTCAATCAGAGCAACACAACATCTCATGGGCAGAATGATTACTTCAGGCACACGCACATGACCCACACTGGGCCAATGACAGTCTTACCTGGGATTTCAAAAGGAATTATTAAGAAAGAGGTGCATTCAGATGGGTTACTAAATTGGTAGAATGGAACCTGGAGCTGCTGATGGCCATCTTTGTCACCACATAGGGAGATCCTGCCTGGGAATGAAGCCAACACAGGAAAGCAAGACTGAGAGAGGAAAAATCTGCTGCAACATTCGTTCAATCCTAATGACAGCAATCTACCTGTAGACTTCTTGGTTCATTAATGAATGTGTTTACTGTTATTATGTAAGTCATGAGTTGGATTGTATTTTTATTACTTGCAACTAATACATCTGGTAAGAGAGACTGACTAGTATTTCTTTCTGCTTTACTAGCTGTATAAACTTCTAGGAATGAACTATACCAAAGAAAAAAACAAATTTAAAAATGGGCTTAAAGTGTATTATTTAATTCATTAAACTATCACTTAAAAGCAGCATACTATAGTGAAAATGTCACAAGCTTTGCAACCTATTGGAACCCTAATAAAATCTTAAATCTCCTATATTCTAGCTATGTATGCTGGCCATATAAATTAATATCCTGGCCCTCTGTTTCTTCTTTTGTAAAATGAGGAGAACATTATCTATCACATAGGATTATTATGAGGAATACCCATAATGCATATGGTCCCTATAACTAAAAGGCTTTCAATAGATAATAGTTATTTAAAGTATCAAACACCTTGACCTGGCAGGATTTGTGGGTAGCATATTCTAAAAGGATTTTTAAAAAGCAAAAACATGACCTCTATGCCTGGTAATTCAAAATCTAGATTAGATGAGGAGATAATGGGTGTGGGAGTTAGGCTCAGTGGTTAAGATGCTGCTTGTGACACTCACATCCCACATAGGAGAGCCTGGTTCCAGTCCTGCCTCTACCTCTGATTCCAGCTTCCTGCTAAATGTGCATTCTGGGAGGCAGCAGATAATGGCTCATATACTTGGTTCCCAGTCGACCATGAGTCCCAGCTGCTCCACTTCTGATCCAACTCCCTATTAATGCATCTGGGGAGGCAGCAGAAGATGGCCTGAGTGCTTGAGCCCTTGCACCCATGTGGGAGAAGTGATGGAGTTGCAGGCTCCTGGCTTCAGCCTGGCTCAGCCTCAGCTAGTGCAGCCATTTGGGAAGTGAACCAGTGGATGGAAGCTCTCCCTTCTTCTTTGTGTCTCTTGTTCTTCTCTCTGTTTCTCCCTTTCTCTGAACTCTGCCTTTCAAATAAATTAATAAAATGTCTTGAAAATTAAAATAAAATGAAACGAAAAGAGGACACACAAATGTTAAACAGAGCCACTGGTTACTAAGGGGAAGGAGAGGCTGGTGTTGCGGCTCACTTGGCTAATCCTCTGCCTGCGGCGCCGGCACCCCAGATTCTGTCCCGGTTGCTCCTCTTCCAGCCCAGCTCTCTGCTGTGGCCCGGGAGGGCAGTGGAGGATGGCCCAAGTGCTTGGGCTCTGCACCCGCATGGGAGACCAGGAGGAAGCACCTGGCTCCTGGCTTCGGATCGGCACAGCATAGTGGCCACTTGGGGGGTGAACCAATGAAAGGAAGACCTTTCTCTCTGTCTCTCTCTCTCACTGTCTAACTCTGCCTGTCAAAAAATAAAATAAAAAGTAAGGGGAAGGAGATAATTCCCTTTGGCTGATCATAAAAAGAATTCATGAAGAAGTGAAATCTGGGCTCTAAAAGAATATGATTTTTTTTTTTTTTTTGGACAGGTAGAGTGGACAGTGAGAGAGAGAGAAGAGAGAGACAGAGAGAAAGGTCTTCCTTTGCCGTTGGTTCACCCTCCAATGGCCGCCACGGCCGGTGCACTGCTGCTGGTGCACCGCGCTGATCCGATGGCAGGAGCCAGGTACTTATCCTGGTCTCCCATGGGGTGCAGGGCCCAAGCACTTGGGCCATCCTCCACTGCCCTCCCTGGTCACAGCAGAGAGCTGGCCTGGAAGAGGGACAACCGGGACAGAATCCGGCGCCCCGACCGGGACTAGAACCTGGTGTGCTGGCGCCGCAAGGCGGAGGATTAGCCTAGTGAGCCGCGGCGCCGGCTCAGAATATGATTTTTGACAAGCAGAGATTGGGAGAAAGTGTCCAAGGAAGGAAGGGAGGTAGGGAGGAAGGGAAAAATGCATGAGCATGTCTGTGGGCACCACAGAGCATGTCAACATGGCTGGAGTGTAGACTCCATACAGGAGTACAGGGAGCTACAACCGATGCCAGACCTGGGCTGGTAAATATGCAGAAGGTGTGGCTTTCAGTCTCACATAGTGGGAATCTTTGAACCCATGAATGTTAGCAGTGTTGGTGCAGGGTGAAAGCTAAGGTTTGACCAGAAAACCACCTGGATTCTCATCAAACTGCTTACTCCCGACTGTCCCCAGCATCCTGCCTCAGTGAACTCTGGTAATTGAGGGGTGTGTCATCCCTCTCAACTGAGTGCTGGAACATGAAAAATGGCTAGAAAACATCAGCCCACAGGCAGAGACTACTAATGAGTGTTAATTGTATGTGGTCAAAAGGGCACCTGGATCCAAAGGGGGAAGGTAGGATTGTAGTCTTCTTTGTCTTTCACTCTTAAAATTAATTCCTCTTAGCCACTTTCCCTGTCTCCAGGCTTCCCCCCACTTCAAATTCTTTTATATTTCATGTCTAGATTAATCTTCCTGTTCTGACCCTGTCATTTCAACCCCAAACCATTAATGATAACTCACACCAACAGAACAGACTAAAAATCTTTGGCTTTCTATAGAAGACTCTTTTAAAAAGAAGATTTATTTATTTATTTGAAAGGTAGAGCTACAGAGTGGCAGAGAGAGAGACAGAGTGAGAGAGAGAGAGAGAGTTCTTCCATCCGCTGGTTCACTCCACAGATGGCCACAATGGCTGGAGCTGTGCCGATCTAAAGCTGGGAGCTTCTTGCAGGTCTCCCATGTGGGTGCAGAGGCCCAAGGACTTGGGCCATCTTCTGCTTTTCCCAGGCCATAGCAGAGAACTAGATTGGAAGTGGAGCAGCTGGGTCTCAAACTGGTGCCCACATAGAATGCTGGCACTGCAGGCAGCAGCTTTACCTGCTATGCCACAGTGCCAACCCCAGAAAATTCTTTCTACTTGAGGCAGCAACCACCTTTCAGACCTCGCTGCCAGGTATCAGGTATCTTCTGGTTTGGCCACACGATCTGCTCATGAGTCCCCAGCTTTTCTGTCTTCACGACTCCTTTGTGCTGCTCATTCTGCCTCAAATACCACTTCACAGTCCCCTCAGCTGTTTCAGTCTTCTGGGCCCTTGAAGACACAGTTCAGATACATTTCCTCATCCCCCTCTGTCTGTTACCCTGACTTTGACAATGTCCTCCCATTTGAAACTCCCGTGGAACTCCACCTGTATCTCTCTTCAAGCACAGCATCATCTGCTTTTTAGAACTCAGTAACAGCTTAGTTTGATAGAAGTCAATATTTTAATATCAATAAAAAGTGTATGGTGAAAATAGTTGTTTTCTTCCTCATTTTTCTCCACAGCTCAAAGACTGTCATTTCCCACTTTTTTTTAACCTCCATATGGGTATGTTAAATAATGTGCTTATGCTTATGCTATTTCCTGATATATCTGTCTTTTTTAAAGATTTTATTTATGTATGTATTTATTTGAAAGGTAGAATTACATACAGTAAGAGAGAGATGCAGAGAGAAAGGTCTTTCATCTGCTGGTTCACTCTTCAAATGGCCGGAGCTGAGCTAATCCAAAGCCAGGAGCCAAGAGCTTCTTCTGAGTCTCCCACACAGGTGCAAGGGCCCAAGCACATGGGCCACCTTCTACTGCTCTCCCAACTCATACCAGAGAGCTGGATTGGAAGAGGAGCAGCTAGGACTAGAACCGGCATCCATATGGGATGCCAGCGCCACAGGCAGAGGATTAACCTACTGTGCCACAGTCCCAGCCCTAATATATATATGTCTTAAACATGATCTATTGCCTTCCTTTGTGCTAGATGAGGATGTGGTACTCTTACAATTACACCACATACCCATCATCACTTCTCCTTCCCCAGCTTCCCAAAGTAGTTAAATAATTTTTGTTCACATCAAGAATCAGTTTATACTGTGATTAAAATGTGTAATTTTCACAGATTAAGTCAAGTACTATACTGTGATTCCTTTCTTATAAAACTCTAGGAAATAAGGGGGCTCATTTTACTTTATCTGCACCAACACTGGTTAATAACTTTAAAAAAAAGTTTTTTCATATTAAAAGTGAAACAAGGGCAGGTGTTGCGGTGCAGCTGGTTAAGCTGCCATCTGACATGCCTGTATCCCATAGGAGTGCTGGTTCAAGTCCCAGCTACTCTGCTTATGATCCAGCTTCCTGCTAATGCATCCTGGGAAGTAGTCCATGATGGCTCAAGTGCTTGGGCACCTGCCATTCATGTGGGAGACCCAGTTGGAGTTCTGGGCTCCTAGCTTCAGCCTGGCCCAGTCCTGCATGTGGCAGGCATTTGGGGAGTAAACCAGCACATGGAAGTGCTCTCTCTCTCTCTCTCCTTCCCTCTATCATTGTTGCTCTGTTTCTCAAGTAGATGACAATAAATACTTAAATAAAAGTAAAATGTATTTATGATGGAAAATTTTTTCATTCAGAAAAATAAAAATTGAAATCAACTGTAATCACAGTCCATTTTGAACTGCTTCTCTCACCACCTCTTTGTTCCCTTGTCCTCTTTCCCCATAAGTACTCAAATCAACACTGCCTGGACCATCTGCAGAGAGTCACTGAGTGTCCGTGATCCCTGATGCACCTTAGAGCATCCAATCTGTCACTGTCAATTAGCATACCTCCACCGCCCATCTGCCTCTGGCCAATAGGCAAACACCTGGCCTTTCCACACAAGCAGTTTTTAATTTTTTTTTTAAAGTGAGGAGTCCATAAGTGTGTTCTGGGTTCTTAAGAATTCAAGTCTTTCAGCTTGCCACCCAGAAGAGGACCTGCACCCCTATTCAGTTGTTTCCATTTTAGTAATAGCCTTATTCTTCCCTGGCCTTACAGAATGCACCAAGGGGTTGAGTTGGAGTAAGTTTAAGTATAACTTTATAGAATTCTCATAAACACTGTTGTCTTACACTCAAGCCCTATGGTCCATTCCTTATTTCATTAAAATACTTTTAAAAAATTATTTATTTATTTGAAGGGCAGAGTTATGAGACGAGGAGGGGGGGGACCTTCCATCTGCTGGCTCATTCCACAAATGGCCACAACAGCCAGGCTGGGCCAGGTCAAAGCCTGGGGCCATGTGCTTCATCCATGCCTCCCATGTGGGTGCAAGAGCCCAAGGACTTGGGCCATCTTCCATTGCTTTCTCAGGTGCATCAACCTGGAGCTGGATCAGAAGTGAAGGACCAGAAACTAGAACTGGTACCCACGTAGGATGCTGGCATCACATTCAATGGCTCAACCAGCTATGCCACAACACCAGCCTCAATCAATTAAAAATTTTTTTTTATTTTGTCTATCAGAGAGACAGTTCCCATCTACTAGCTCATTCTCCAAATACAAGGCTGGGCCAGGTAGAAGCTATGAATGAGGAGCTCAATCCAGGTCTGTCATGTGGGTGGTGGAGACCCAAGTACTTCAGCAATCACTGTTACCTCCCAAGGTGTGCATTAGCATGAAGCAGGAATCAGGAACAGATCCAGCATTCAAAGCCAGGACTCCAGTATGGGATGTGGGCATCCAGCTGCCCGACAAATGCCCATTTGCCTGTGGCCCATGCTAATCCTTAAGGAGAGATCTCCTCCCTTAGTACAGGATTTCTCCCTTAAGGGAGAAATTAGTCCTTCCTACAATCCGTGTTTCATCGGGTGATGTTCTTTTTTAAACCCAAATTTTCTTTCATAGCACTTCTGGACCCAAGAAAAACAAAGCCTGGAGCTAGATGTTTCTTGTATTCAATACAGCAGCATTCTCATGCAACAAGCCCTCTGCCAGTTAGCTACTCTCCTCTTTCCCCTCAGTTCCCTTGGCTTCCACACCCCCCCTCCCCCCGCCCCGTCCCGTTCCTACTTTGATCAGAGCCCTTATTGCCGGGTGTTAGCCCTAGGTCACCTTGTGGGTATCTTCCCCAGCTTGAGCCCTTTGAGGGCAGGAATCCTGGCACCACAGGGAGGTAGGGCGAAGAGTAAGTGCAACATATTTACGGGAGGAATCGGTGATGGGTGTTTGGACAAAACTACACTACAATGATTTTAATACCGGGAAAGAACTTTCAACTTAAACCAGAAGCCAACAGCTCCCTCTGTTTTCTTATGCCAAGGAATGGCTTGAAGAACACCGAGGAGAACCCTGAAAATGCACCTGGTCGCCCCATGAGGGCTGGATGGGAATGCGGCTAAACCAGTTAGGGAGTCGCTTTGGTGGCCCTGCGGTGAGCTGCTCAGAATGGGTGGAGTGGCCGGTGCAGACTTAGAGCTACAACTAAAAGGCATTTCCAAAAGAAGAATAAAAGCCGAAATTCGCTGAGTTCCAATGTGCTAGAGGTTACACCATCATCAACCTGGACACGGAATCACTTCTATTTCGCCCGGATGCAAAGTGACATTAGACCAGATTAAGCGGCTGAGGGGAAGGCGCGAGCCTGTCACACACCCCAAGTGATGAGCTTCCAACTCAGGTCCGAGGCCTCGATAAGTCGGAGCCTAACTCCTGTGTTTTCCTGCGCCGATGCTTCAGCGCCTCAATTTGCTGGGAAACGCCTTGCAACGCCAGAACGTAGGAGCGCAGAGGTCGTGTATCAGGCTGCCCGTGCCTTCCGGGGCCGTGCGGAAGGCCGCTCCGGGTAGAGGCCGCCGCGCGGTAGCCCCGGAACGGCGGGAGGCGGCAGGGCCCCTGGCGGAAGGCGGCCGCAGCTGCGCAGACTGGGGAGCGGAAGCGGCTGAGTCATCGCGCGGGCAGAAAGGCGGCCGGCTTGGAGCGCGCGCCGGACGCCTGCGGTCCCGCATGGCTGGGCCGTGACGCTCGGCGTGAGCACCCTCAGGGCAGTCGGCCCTGGCTGTGACGAGAGCGGCCGGAAGGGCTGAGTCAGCGCAGGCGACGCGAGCGGCGCTGGCGGGGAGGGGCGGACGCGCCTTCCCGCGGCCCCTGCTCCGGGCCCGGCCCGGGGGCCCCGCGCGCAGCCCGGCCCCTGCTGCCCGGCCGAGGCCGAGTGGGCGCTGCTTGTCAGCGGATGCCGTCCGGGCCGTGCCATCTGAAACCGAAGTTTGAAATCACGGAGCGGCCTCAACCGACAAACCCAGGTTTCAGTGGAAGCCACTGGCCTTGTGAAAGGTCGGGTAGGTTTTGAAGATCAAAGGCGCTTGCCCAGGGCTAGGAATGATTTGCCTGACTCAGTTCCAAAATGCAATAGGTGATAATTAAAACACACAATTATTATTTTTTGTAGTGTAGGACCAAAACTTCCATACAGAGTACTTCCCATGGGTCCCTGATGAACTCGGTCCAAAGGGACCAGAACCCAGCGGATGCTTCTCCCTGCTCCTACACTGCTGAGACCGGAACCCAAATTTATAAAATAATATTTAATAGGTTTTGTTCAAAATTCTTTTTTAGACAATAAGCCACTATACTGTGGAGTATTCTGGAAAAAAAGGAAAACCTAATTGCAGCTCTTGAACCAAAACCACAATTGCTTTTGCTTCTCTCCCTACATTTTTTGTTATTGTTCACAAGAAGAGATTTTTATATAGCTACATTAGAGCTGTCATTTTCTATGTTACTGTTTTCACTAACCTCACATAAACATTTGCCCGTGCCTCAAAGATCTTCAGAATCATTAAGATTTTATTGATTTATTTTCATTTATTTGAAAGGCAGAGATAGAGCACTTGCGCACTCACTGGTTCATTCCCCTCAAATGGCAGCAATATTCAGTGCTGAGCCAGTTTAAAGCTAGGCTACAGGGACTCCACCCAAATCTCTCTTGTGGATGGGCAGGTGCCCAAGTCCTTGAGCTGTGATCTGCTGCCGCCCAGGGTGTGCATTAGCAGGAAGCTGGAATCAGAAGCAGAGCCAAGACAAACTCAGTCTGATACAGGATACAGGTGTCCCAAGCAGTTTCTTAGCTGCTGTACCAAATGCCCACTCCAAGGATCGTTATTCTATTTTATTTTGTAAAATATCTATTCTGGGAGCCGGTGCTGTGGTATAGCTGGTAAAACCACTGCCTGCCCTGCTGGCATCCCATATAGGCACTGGTTCACATCTCAGCTGCTCTACTTGCAATCCAGCTCCCTGCTAATGGCCTGGGAAAAGCAGCAGAGGGTGGTCCAAGTGTTTAGGCCCCTACCACCCACTTGAGAGACCCAGAGAAAGTTCCTGGCTTTGGCTTGTCCCAGCCTTGGCTATTGTGGGCATTTGGGGAATGAACCAGAAAGCAGATGGAAGATCTCTCTTTGTTTAACTCCCACTTAAATTTTTATTTACTTGAAAGGCAGAGTGACAGAGAAAGAGAGAGAGAGAGAGATCCTCAGTTTCCTGGTTCTCTCCCCAAATGGCCTCAGTGGACTGAACTGAGCCAGGCCAAATCCAGGAGCCTGGAATTCCATCTGGTCTCCCATGTGGGTGCAGGGGTCCAAGCACTTGGGCCATTTTCTGCTGCTTTCCTAATATGCGTTAGCAGGGAACTAGATTTGAAGTAGTTGGAACTTGAACTGGTGCTTATATGGGATGCTGGTGTCACAATTAGCAGCTTAACCTACTATGGCCACAGTGTCAACCCCTTGTTCTCTGTTGCTTTCTTCTTCCCTAAGTTATTTATTTATTTGAAAGGCAGAGTGACAGAGCGGGAGGGAGAGACAAAGAGAAAGTTCTTCCATCAGCTGGTTCATTCCCCAAATACCTGCAAATGTAAAGGCTGGAATAGACCTCAGTGAGGAGCCATGAACTCCATTCAATCTCCCAGGTGGGTGGCAAGAAACCAAATACTTGAGCCATCATTCAATGCTTCCCAGGCACATTAGCAGAAAGTTGAATCAGAAGTGGAGGAAGGACTTGATCCCAGGCACTCTAGATTTGGAATGCAGGCATTCTAAGTGGCAGCTTAACCTGCTATGCCTCAATACTCTGCCTCTCAAATAAAATTAATAAAAATTTTAAAAATATAAAAGTAGAAAGATTACAAAAAGGAGTCTGATGAGGTTGAGAACTAGTGCCCTACTCTAATAAGTATCAAAGACTTATCTTTTTTTTTTTTTTTTTTGACAGGCAGAGTGGACAGTGAGAGAGAGAGACAGAGAGAAAGGTCTTCCTTTGCCGTTGGTTCACCCTCCAATGGCCGCCGCGGCCTGCGCGCTGCGGCCGGCGCACCGCGCTGATCCGATGGCAGGAGCCAGGAGCCAGGTGCTTCTCCTGGTCTCCTATGGGGTGCAGGGCCCAAGCACCTGGGCCATCCTCCACAGCACTCCCGGGCCACAGCAGAGAACTGGCCTGGAAGAGGGGCAACCGGGACAGAATCCGGCGCCCCAACCGGGACTAGAACCTGGTGTGCCGGCGCCGCTAGGCGGAGGATTAGCCTAGTGAGCCGCGGCGCCGGCCTCAAAGACTTATCTTAACACTTATAGCTATCATTGTCTTGTCCCAGGTGTATTCCTTTTTTATTCCTAAGATCCTAGTATTGGAGCAGTGCTTTCTGTTCCCACAGCTCCATCTGTCACCTTGTTCTATTCTATAGGACTCTGTCACTTTTGAAACACCCATATGACCCAAGGCAGTCTATTTATAGTCTAGCCAATTGCCCAAGGGACTTGTTCAATAAGAATGATAATAATTAACCAGATCAATAAAATGTTCTCTTGCAAAGAATGACGTTCAGACCCAGATGGTAATGTGGTTAATAGCAGGGTCAGAAGCTGAAGGGCACACAGAGGAAAAGCAGTAACTAGAAGCTGTGATGTAGCAGACACCTGGAATAGGTAGAAGTCTTGAATACTGAGAAGCGCAGAGGGGATGAGTGGCAGTAGCAGGAGTAGCACACGCAAGGAGAGCATCCCCAACAACCACAGAAAGTGATCCAGCCAAAATGCCTCATTCCTTGAGCTGACTTGCATCTACAGCTCAAACCGAATGTAAAACCTTGTAAGGACTCAGTCCTACATGATTGAGATTTTTGTCTGTTTTATGTTCCCACATAGCTTTAGAATAAATCTGTATCACTTACACTAAAGGGATATTTGTAACCAAAGATCCTAACTACCAAATTTTCCAATTCATGCTCTCTTCCATTTCTGAACCTTTATCATCCCCACTGCTTGAATGTTCCGCCCTTATCATATTGTTGTTGCATGTTTTGGTTGTCCAAAGCCCAGCTCAGGTACCAGCTCCTCCATTCAGCCATCCTTGATATCTGTTAAAAGTGGTAACTCCCTATTCTCAAATGGGAACCCACTTCTACTTCTTTTAAGAATATTTCTTATTCCCAACTCTCTGTTATATAAAAACATCATCTCTACTCGATTTTGAGTACCTTGAAATAAAGACAATGACTATTTCATCTGTTTCCGTCAAAACAAAGTCCAGCTTAGAAACATGCAAAGAAAAGGTAAATAATTATTAAGTGCTCCTTCTATTGATGCAGTACCTGTCTTCTCCCCCTTTTTTTAATTCTTTGAAAGACAGAGGCAGAAGCAGAGAGAGAGAAGAGGGAGAGAGAGAGAGAGACAGAGACTGGTTCACTCCCCAAATGGCTGCAACAGCAATAGATGGGCCTATCAGAAGCAAGTAGCCTGGAGCTTCCTCAAGGTCTCCCATGTGGGTGCAGGGGCTCAAGGGCTTGGGCCATCCTCCACTTCCCTCCCAGACCATAGCAGAGAGCTGGATCAGAAGTGGAGCAAGTGTTACAATGATATGACACCTTTGTGTAATAAAAATGTGTTTAAAGTTAAAAAAAAAAAAAAAAGAAGAAGAAGAAGTGGAGCAGCTGGGACATGAACTAGCACCCATATGGGATGCCAGCACTGTAGGTGACGACTTTACCTGTTATGCCACAATGCCAGCCCCCATGTAGTAGAGTTTCAATCTGTGTTTGCTATATGGAAGATCTAGCTTCTACCTGATATCTAGGTCAGCATCATCTCCTGTGCACTGGGCACCACAAGGATGTATACAAATACCTTAGATTAAATGTTCTCCGTAGCAAACGTGTTCTTCCTGCTGCGTTGCTGTCTTATTGTAAGGGCATCTCTAAGTCACTTAGGTTTATAACTTTAAGTCATCTTGCTACTGCATTGAAAGTTCCATTGTAACACTCTGGGCTTCCACAAAAGTAGAATTTGAGACATAATGGAGGATTGTGGTGCAGGCAAAATGAAACTAGAAAGGTGAAATAGCTAATATAAGGAAAGGTTTTAGTTTTCTACTGCTAAGGGGGATAGGGTGTTTGATCCTGTAAGATTGTGAGGAGATTTGTGAAATGTGTCTCAGAACATCTGACCAAGGTAAGAAAGAGGAAAGTTTCAGTTCTCATTCGCCACTGGTCAAAGGTTATCTCATGGATTGTTAACTTCCCCACACTTCCGGCTTGGATATGCAGAAGATTTGAGTATGTTTCTGTGGGTATACCATGGTATGGCTTCATGGATACTCTGAAGTAAGAAGTGAGAGGCCTGTGGCTCACGCCTGAGGTAAGGCCCAATCACACAGACAGTTGCATGTGTCTATGCCAAGAACTGTTTTTACAAGCTTTTGCAAACACAGGAAGAAGCCACAGTTTCATGGATGTTGACAGAGGGTACAAGAATCCTCGGGCAGAGACAAAGGACTTGTTCACTCAGCAAGCAGCACACGCTTCATTGTCACATCAGTTTCCCTTGCCCTCATGTATCCCAGGCAGACTGAGGTGGATACCGTGCCTGTAGTGGATTCCTGTTACCACTGAGGAATCCTGAACTTAGGAAACCTGTCCAACCCCAGAGAGAGACAGTATCGCTATCTTCCAAGACTGTTTGCTATACAAACATTCTTAAAAAGATGGTCTGGTGCAAAAGCTGACATAAAACATGCTGAAACAGGATAGAGT